GTATTCATGTGTTATCCTTGTATTCATGTGTTATCACTGTAATCATGTTATCCCTGTATTCATGTGTGAGATTCGAATTTTATCTTCTCGTGAGAGATCTTTTCAACACTCGAAGATAAAATCCGTATCTCCGCGCGCCCATGTAATATCCTCTATATTCATGTGTTATCCCTGCATTCATGTGTTATCACTGTATTCATGTGTTATCCCTGTATTCATGTGTTATCCCTGTATTCATGTGCTATCCCTGTAATCATGTTATCCCTGTATTCATGTGTTATCCCTGTATTCATGTGTTATCCCTGTTTTCATGTGTTATCGCTGTATTCATGTGTGACCACTGTATTCATGTGTTACCACTGTATTAAAGTGAGACTTTTGAAACTCAGCCGATACCACTGATCACAAATTCAACTTAAAAGAACAAAGGATATCTAAAATTAGTGTTCTATTAAACAACTACTAATGTGAGAAGTTATTGATCTTTCAGTTGCTATATTCATATCCTGTGAATATATATTTAATAAGAAAATGCTATAACGTTTTAAAAAGCATTCCATCCTCGATATGATGTACTTGACGACATATCACTACTCTAGAACACCTCTTAAGAGATACATGAGCAATCTTATTAAGAACTGCAAAATAGAGGACGTCTGTAAAATATATCATAATATATACCAACACATACACTAACAACGTAACATTTAAGGTTAATTTAATGTTGGCACTAGGTTGCTTGTTGTTGACGATCCAAAGACAATGAGTTTAATTTTCCATTGAAAACTAACATAACTCTTACAAATGTGTTCTCTGGTAACATCTTTGGCGCCTAGACAAATTACATGATTTACATAATGTCACATGATACTTGAAAATTTGCATAATCTTGAATTAGCCGCTACATTTAATAAAGAAAAGAACCTACTTAACATATAATTATCGAAATTTTTTTGTACATGTAACGACTTAAACGTGCTTTGAACCAACTTAAACGTGCTTTGACTGATATGCTATATCAAATGGTAAACTAATACAGTACCGGCCAGAATTGCCTTAATCAAAAACCGCGTACGCGTCCAAACAATATGAAATGCAAACGCGCATTGTTGCTTTTCTGGGATACTCAAACGCTTTCACCATGCATTTGAATATCAGTGATATCTTATGACTGTAAATTTTCTGCGGTCAGAACGTAAGCATATACATACATAAAAACATTGGCAAAACGGCAGAACTACAGTCGACCTCGCCTGGCTAGCCCGACTAATTAACAAATATATTTGTATACACCAACCAAAATTGAGAAGAAAAAAAGGCTTAAAGAGGAATAAAGAAAAACACAAAGGGAGAAAGAAGGAAAGAAAGAGAGCAAAAACAAAAACAAAAACAAAAAAAAAAAAAGAAAAGAAGAAAAAGGGAGAAAAAAGCAGGGTATGTGGCTGGTGAAAGAACAAATGCACCGAAAATAAGACATTCATATTTAGCTAATTATATTTGTGAGTTAGTGATGCTAAGATCGTACATTTCTGTAGTTGTCCTTGCGATTAACAAATGCCCACATCCAATTAAAGGTTTGAGTTTTCATCATTTCCTTCGTCAAAGTTGTTGACTTTACTTGAGACTACATTCTAAGCAGTTGTCATCTTTTTTCACATCCATTGAGTACCATCGTAGTACGCTTGGCACATTGAACTTGTCAAAACCATCCTCGGGATAACAAGCAGACTGACCTTCTCGACGATTTGACCACATGTAGTAAGCATTTCTGAAATCATTTTCCAGTGACTTTAAGGCGCTGTCTTTTCCTCTGCATAACTCGACAAGAGCTATCTTGACTATCATGATGCTGATGGGAATGATGTCCGATGACAAACCTACTTGGATGGTCGCCTCGACTTCACTGTCAGATACATAACTTGGGTTGTTCTCTCTTGCCTGTCGAAACGAGGAAACCTCTTCTTTATCTGCATCTAGGAAAGCATTTTTGTAAACACAGCTAAAGCATGGCCCATTGTGAGGCCTGATAACAACGACCTCTCCACCTGCAGCTCTTACGGCACACTTTCCATACAAGACGGGAATGTTAAGCTCAAGGGACACTGTGTTGATGTTTAGACGACTGCGTATGTTGTCTGTCGCAGCAACGATGAGATCACAGCCCGCTAAAATCTTTCGTGTATTTTCTTGATCATTGATGCTGCAATTGTAGATCTCTACCTTGGCAAAAGGATTTTTATCCATAATGYGGTCACGAATGGCTTTAGTTTTGAGTCTACCAAGGTCGCTCACACCACATGTATGACGAACGATGTTGTTCAGCTCGATACGGTCGTAGTCAACAAGTACAAATTGGCCCACACCAGCCTTTGCTAGCTCTATGGCGACTGTAGATCCTCCGCTACCCAGTCCGATTATAGCGACCTTTCTTTCTTCAAGTAGTCCAGACTCCAGAAGACCTTTACTTCTCGAATAGAGAAGATGTTTAGACGGGTTAGAAAGAACTTTGATTTGACGAAATGGTTCGACGCTGGAAGGCCTGACGAATGCTTTGACTTGGTTGTTATTATTGCTGATAAGGAGAGCGATCTGGAGATCATCGCTATCGTGCAGCCTACGGAACGTTGTTTCGACAATTCCATCTGTTTGGACGGTATCGTCGGGGAAATTTTCGAGAAGTCTGAATGCAACTTCTTTCTTGGCATTCGCTTGTTGATGAGAGAATACGGTGAGATGTAAAACGTCTCCATCATCAATTGAAATAATTTTGAAGCATGGAATTTCAGTCTTCCTCAATATGTCGGTAAAATTGSCTTGCATCAAGCATAAGACAATATCGCTTGGCTGGTGCATCCTGAAGCTGTCGGTACAAGATGTATAGGTTCTGACTTCGATTTCAATTTGATGAATATAAAATAGTTTTGGATGATGCATTTTCCGGGAAATTGACAAAGTGATTATTTCATTAAAATAAAAAAAATATTTTTATTCATTAATTGGCTCAACTGAGATAGAGGGAATACTTTTAAAAAGAGTTTTACATTACCTTTACACTGAAAAAATACATTTATTTAGTGTTACAAGAATTTCGCCTCAATTGGCGTCTACAAAAAAATCGTAGATACTCTGTTTTGGGTGCCCCCTTTGTTTGCTCTTCTCGGAATTAACAATGAACACACAGATCAAATTATGACTACGACCAGTAATTATGGCTTAGACTTAAACTATCTTCTTGCGTCTTGTATTTGCTCTTTTAAAAGTCGTGTGGGTTAACTCGAGATTACGAAAGGAAAGCATTTATATATAAATGATATTTTGACAGGAATTCTAAGAAAAGTAACTCTGAAAGGGGGTCTCCCCGTATAGAATTAAACGATATGATGACACAAACAAGGGGACAATTTTATTTGTTGCATTGCTATAGAGTTACAATAGATATACACCTACTTGCGAAAACGTTGTCATAAAAAATAGGACATTTGTACATTTGTAAAAAGGAATAAATTAAAAAAGACAAAAGAAGATCACTGAGGCTGAACGCTTTCTTTTGTTTTGTTTTAATTTATTCCTTTTTACTAAATTCGAATGTTCTATTTTCTATGACAACGTTTCTGCAAGTAGGTGTATACTGTAACAATATTGCAAATTTTTGGTTATAGTTTGATTTTAGTTGATAGACTTTTTTCAGACTTGTAGATATAAACTCTGAAATTATTCGTTAGGGTTTCAGAATGATACATCGTGTTTTTACCTATTTGCCAAAAGCAAGATGAGCAACATATTCTCTTTATTCCAACTTCCTAGAAATGTGACAAATTGTCACGCAATACACCAGGTAAATTATAACTCATGAAGCTCATTTTATTATTCCTATGTACTTGGTTTATTCAATTGCTATTTATTTACAATCACTTTTCAGATTCTACTTAGATCTACACTCCTGAAAGGCCTTTCTTGGACTTTATTTATTGTTTGTATAATAGACTGAAGTTACAGAATCTAGAGCAAAGTTACCAAATTTCAGTGTGTTTCATATTGTCTTCTTTAGTTCCATGTGTTTTTATGAGCTGCAGACTTCACCAATTGACTTCACCGGTTTACATCAGTGAACAATAGCTTCTCGTTTGTTCATGTMTTTCCGCTGCATTTGATACGTTCGCTAAGGCTCTCAGAAATTGATCTATCGTCATCTCACTATTCATCTCTCTTAAATAGGTTTTCATGGGATAGCCAGTACGGAGGGATATTTCGTAGGCCTCAAGCCAAATCCTTCCTTTCATGAAAATTTGGTATAAAGTGTACTCATTTGTCCACATATTGGGAACAAAATGACAAATGGTAGTTAGGCCATCTTTGGTACCGTAGCTGTGGTTGTCAGTACCACACTGAATATCATACCCATGTTGATCTCTTAATGGTCTACTTGGGTTGCTGACGCACAAATCAGGACACGAATTTGGGTAGTCGTGRGGGATGCATGCTCGAAGCGTGTACGAGTTACCGCTGTTTGTTGTCATTTCTATCTCGACATTATTGTCATTGTTTTTGATCCAATTTACCTTGTCTGAGAAGTACTCAATAAGAAGTTCGCGTTCTTTGTAAAGTCTTCTGGTTTGAGCTTCTGTCCAAGCCATAATCAAAACCCTTCGCTGCTTCGATCGATGATGAAGCTCTTCAGTTTCAGTTTCACTTTCACTTTCAATGTTGTTCGAGTAGCCGTATGTATTACTTAAAGTTTAGTCGTGGGTTCTATGGTAAGATAAGGAGAATCTTTATATAATAGACAAACCCGACTTTTTATTGATATATAGAGGCATCGACAACAAATGTACTTGCGCAGTATATGAAACAGACATAACTGCTTTCATATGAATGAGAATAGATAATTATGATGCAAAACATATACAAGGGCACATTTACAGAAAGAGGACAAAAGAATAATAATACTTGTTTACTAAAAAAAATAAACTTTAATAAATTGAGTTCTGTACTTTTTATAGTTTTTTTTCCGTCACGTCTGTTCCAAGTTATAATAATAATAATAATAATAAATAGTATTTATATAGCGCAAAATATCAATGAAGTTCTGATGCGCTTTACAAAATTTATAAAAATAGTTATAAAAATTTATGAAAAAAGATATAAATGTTTATTTGTAAAATAAAATTTCAAAWTCACATACTTTTTTTTATATTTTGCATAAAACACTAATACAATAATAATTATTTAACACTAAAAATACAGAACTATTTAAGTGAAAAGGCTTTCTTAAAAAGCCAAGTTTTAATTTCCTTTTTAAGTAGTATGTATGACTTTGGCCCTTTCTTGTGATAAACAAAACTATGCAAATGAATTACTGGTGATTGCGACATTTCCCGGAAACTCAGCCCTGTTGAATATCAAATACTTGTACACGAACGCTTTAATTAGAGTTGTCGCGATCAAATCAATACATCATGTCAAGCCCAGGATTTACAGTGTACATGTTTGAGAGTGATTTTGAGMAAATGCAAAAATGGGTTCTGAAACACCCTTGCATGGAGACTGGGGGCGATTTGTTTGGTTTATGGAGTGATAACGATAATGCTGTTATTCACATTGTACTCGGTCCCGGAAGGAATTGCACTCGCGGTGAATACCACTTTTATCAAGATGTACAGTACTTGGCGAGAGTCGGCAAGCTACTGACAAGCGATTATATGCTAGGGCACATTGGCGAATGGCATTCCCATCATCAGCTGAAGCTGGACGAGCCAAGTGATGGTSACTGTAGGACTATAGAGAGGAATTTCCCGAAGGGTTCGTGCGGTTTCTTTTTGATGATAGCTAACATCATTGCAAAGGAGCATGTACAGATAATACCGTACCTTTTCAAGAGCAATTGGAGAGGATACAGAAAAGGACAAATAGAGTTCGTTGGACACAAAAGTCCATTTACGATGCTGCCAAACATATCATCATCAATGGAAGTAGGAAATGAAAAAAAACCTGCCTTTCTTGTAAATACAAGACGCAWGAAGATAGTTTAAGTCTAAGCCATAATTACTGGTCGTAGTCATAATTTGATCTGTGTGTTCATTGTTAATTCCGAGAAGAGCAAACAAAGGGGGGGACCCAAAACAGAGTATCTACGATTTTTTTGTAGACGACAAATGATGCGAAATTCTTGTAACACTAAATAAATGTATTTTTTCAGCATAAAGGTAATGTAAAACTCTTTTTAAAAGTATTCCCTCTATCTCAGTTGATTAATGAATAAAAATATATTTTTTATTTTAATGAAATAATCACTTTGTCAATTTCCCGGAAAATGCGTCATCCAAAACTATTTTATATTCATCAAATTGAAATCGAAGTCAGAACCTTACATCTTGTACCGACAGCTTCAGAATGCACCAGCCAAACAATATTGCCTTAGGCTTAATGCAAGCCAATTTTATCGAGATATTGAGGAAAACTGAAGTTCCATGCATCAAATTTACTTCAATTGATGATGGAGACGTTTTACATCTCACCTGGTGTATTGCGTGACAATTTGTCACATTTCTAGGAAGTTGGAATAAAGCGAATATATTACTCGTCTTGCTTTTGGCAAAT